ATCACCATCATCATCATCATTATTCATCGTCATCGTTATCATCACCATCACCATTATCATTAATGTTTTAGCCCATTGCTATTATGCAGCTTCTTTTATATAAAATCACGAGCATCTACTCTAACTAGTCCGTTACATATAGTATGAACAAACTAGAAGTTTGTTCATGCTATATGTAAGCATTCTACCAAACTTTTTTTACTTTTTTTTTACTTCTGACTTTTTTTTATACACATATGGAAATTAAATATTAGAATTTAGTTTTAAATCTTTAATGGGCAATTCCATGTAAAAAGATCCAGGGCATGCAACCCTGAGAATCAGGTTTTGCTGATTTTTACACCACTCAAAGATTTAATTAAATCATGAACATTTCCAAAAATTTATGATCTAATTTTAAACAATTTTAAAGATATGACTTTTCAAACTTTGCCTTGAACTAACAAAAACCAACCATTTTGAAAAATGGTTTTGGTGATTCCATTGCACACAGAACAGTTTCTGTTCTGTGTGCAATGGAAAGCTGAAAATATGTACACTTACATATTTTGAGGCAAGGAATCCAATAAAACACTTTAAATATTTAAAAATAAACATAACACTTGTAATTTTGACCATTATTGCAATTTTACTGGGGCGAGTTTAATTACAAAAATGACGAAGTAGCTGGATTTTTTATTTTATTTTAGATGTCATTCTGAATAGTTTAGTTAGTTTTATTACAAAGAATTGGAAAGTGGTCTTTTCTTAAACAGAAAAAAAAAATGGCCAAATTTACTTAAATTTGTAACTTAAAACACAGAAATTATGAAAAATGAAAGAAAAAAAAATGTGGTACTCTTAAGTGTTTAATACACAGCAGTTGATGTTTAATAATTTTCAAATATTTTCCCACCCACCCTGAACTAAATAAGACCCCCTCCCCCTTTTTGTTAAATTTGACTTGTTACCAACAAAGAAACTGTATTTCAAAATCTGAAAAAAAAAATTCAGTTATTATTTTCTAATTTTTGAGATCCATTTAGGTCTTAAAAAATATAAAATATAAATTTACTTATAGGAAGAAAGAAAAAATTCCCACTCACCTGTTTGTTAAGACTAACTTCCCCCCCCCCATCCTCTCCTTCTTTTCTGATGTCCCCCCTTTTATTACACTTGGATAAAAATTCCCATCCATCTTTTTATTTTTATCCCACATTGTGTTCAGCAATTGAGAAAAACTTGAAAGTAATAAAACTGAAAAAGCTTTGACCATATCAAATTGTTCCTATACTTGTTGCTGCCTTGCTTTTACTGTTTTCTTGGTAACTTTATAAACTTAAATCCTAAATTTTAAAAATTATTAAAGTTTTAATGTGTGTGAGTTGAATTAAAAAATGCATATGCATAGAGTCTTTTGTTTAAAGTTAAAAAATTTTTTATTTTAACTGTCTTGAATAATTTAGTTAGAATTACATGAATTGGATTGTGGTCTTCCCTAAAACAGAGATAAAAAACATTTTTAAATGTATATCATTAGTAGATGAATTTAATGAGGTAATTCAGAATCATAATCTGATTTTTATTTAATGTTTCTAAGTATTTTATTAAATTTTTATTACTAAACTAAACAAGTTTTACTAAATTAACAGTTATGAATAATAAATAGTTGCTTTTTTATTGACCAGTGGCCAATATTTGGATGAGACAATTATTGGTAAATAAAACCCAATATTTAATAATGTTGTTACCATCAATTTCTGTATTTCATTATTTTATCACTTTCTACATTATATGTACCACAATATGTTTTATATGATGGAGCATTTATTATTTTATTTAAATTGGGATTTAAAAATTTATAAAATTGAGCCTAAAACCTAATTCACAGGCAGAATGCAGTAATCATTAGAATATCATAACAGATATAAACAATCTAACTTTGTTTTTTTATCTAAAATTATTTTAAAAATGTTCTTGCAGCAATAGGCAAGGGACTTCCAGTTAGGCAATGCACTGAAATAGTGGTACGTGTTATTGGTAATTCAGGAGGTAATGTTTCTAATAGTAAGTTATCTTTTTCAATTGTTTTTAGAGTCATGGAGAAAGTTGTAAATAAAGGAAGAGAAATGATTATAAACAAACTGGTCAAATAATGAAACAAAATTTAGCCTTATAAACTTGTTAAACTCTTGCAATCAATAGACTAATCAATTTTTTGTTCACATGTAATAAATGAGGGGAGATAAGAAGAAAGAGGGGAGGAATGGGGTATTAATAAACAAGAGGGTAGGAATTTTTATTTTTAATTCTAAAAGTGAGTTTATTTTTTTAATTTTTATGACCAGAAATTAAAAATAAGTTAATAATTCTTTTTTGTTTTGTTTTTAGTTTTTAAATAGTTTCTTTGTTCACAACAAGTAAAATCAGAGATGCGGATTCCTAAAAGGGCTCTGGCTTTATATCTCTTTTTTTTAATGGTCTCTGGTATTCAAAACTTCTAAATATGTTGGTTGACTTATGATCTGTAAAAAGAAAAAAATTCATAAGATTTAATAGCTTGGAAGTTATTGTTTTTAAGCCTGGAGTCCTTGCTGGCATTATACCTTAAGATTGCTTGTTCAAAAACTAAACGTTTTTTATCATTAGTAGTACATAAGCTTTTTTATATTTTTACAGCTCCTGGATACTAAAAACTAGGAAGAAATCTTTTTAAGATTTTGGGACATCACATCCCTGAATAAAATTCAATAATTGGGAGAGGGGGTCTTAATAAGTTCAGGGTGGGTGGGAAAATTTTTCAAAAGTATTAAACACCAACTGCTGTGTAATAAGCACTTAAGAGTAACACTTTTTTTCCTTTCAACTTAACAAATTGGAAGGAAAAAAATAAACTTTCAAAGTAACAAATTTAAGTAAATGTAAGTGTATTTTCAGCTTTCCATTGCACACAGAACAAAAACAATGACCAAAACTATTTTTGAAAATGGCAGATTTTTGATAGTTCAAGGCAAGAAGAAGAGTCGTATTTTTGAAACCGTTTTGAATTAGATAAAATTTTGGAAATGTTCATAACTTATCAAAATCTTTGAGTGGTATAAAATTCAGCAAAATCTGAGACTTAGGATTTTATAAAAAAAAAAATTGGATGCTTTCACATGGAATTGCCCTAATTAGAGTCTGTTTGCGAAGAAAAAAATTGCTAAATTAAGTGCAAAGAATTTCAATTAATTTGTTTCTTTTAGGGAAATTTTAATGAATGATTAAACTTCTTGTTTAATGTATATCCTTTAAAAGTATTTATTGATGATATAAAAACATAAATAGTACAAAAGTTATAACTATATATATTTCTCTTGGAAAAAACTTCTTGAGAATTGGGACTTTCCAAACGATTTTAGGGATTTTAGGCAACTTGCTAATTAAATTAATTTTTCATAACTTGCAAACAGTTTTTTGCAATGCATTCCAACAACAGCAAATATTATATTAAAAAGATTGCAAGAAATAAAGCACTAACCTAATAAACCTAAATTAGTAAAAATTTGTTTGGTTTATCACCGGCAAATGGTTTTTTTTTTTAATTTTTGCCCTTTTTAGCTGAAAATTTAAATAATTTATTACTGAAAACTCAACTCCAAATGAAAAAATAATTATTGGTGTTCTTCGTTGCCATGGGTGCAATCACTTGAGATTTCTTCTATAATTAAATTCTTCTATAATTAATATTGCTTTTGTTTTTGCTGGGACTTAATAACTATAACTTTATTTATGTATAAAGAAAGTTATTTTTAATTATAAAATTGAACTTGAAATAAAATGTGAAAAAGAAAATTTACGAGCTCATGTTTACTATTTTCAAAACTATCTATTTTTAAAAGATTTCTTTTAATGTCACAACTTATTACATGATAATGTAAGGGTTCATCCATAAAGGACATCAAGCAAAATTTAAATAAAAAATAGAAGTAAAAGATCATTGGCTCTCTTCTGCTGAGATTTTAATTGAACATAAATTCCTATATTACTATATTACAGTGAAAAATAAATATATATTCAATAGAAGACTCTTGAAATAAAAGCGACAACGATATATTAAGATTAAAAATAAATCAAATATATTACTATTAATAATAGTTAATTAATATACACTGATTATTTTATAATATAAAAATATATTCCTAATATATGTTTGGAAATTAAAGTTTAGTTTGCTGTGTCATTGTGAAACCCTATTTAATTTTGTGTTCATTTCATATTCATCTTCAATATTACAGACAGGATTTTATTTTATTTTTGGCGCTTTCCAATCAATGAACACAGCCTCGGAATAAGAGTCAATGAAACTCAGAATTAAGGCATTAGGTACTTTATACTCGTTTCTATGTTTAATAGTAATGCCTTTGTGTCAAGTTTTTTTTGCCGACCTAATAACTTCTACATATGTAACATATTTTATATATATATATAAAAATATATATATATATATATACATATATACATATATATACATATATATACATATATATATACATATATATATATACATATATATATACATATATATATATATATATATATATATATATATATATATATATATATATATATATATCAGGCTTTCACAGGAAGACGTGCGATTTCACGTCTTTATTTGACAACACAAAGAAAAATGTCAATAAACAAAAAAAATAAAAACAAATTTTTTTAAAAATCGCAACTAAAAAAAGACAAATCAGCTGTAAACCACAAAGATTTTTTATGCATAAGATAAAAAGTTTAAAAATTTATTAAATAACTACACGATTTTAAATTTAAAAAAAAATTTAACCTGTAATAGTATATTACTAATATAATAATAATAATAATAATAATAATAATAATAATAATAATAAACACCAATAATAATAATAATAATAATAATAATAATAATAATAATAATAATAATAATAATAATAATAATAATAATAATAATAAGAGTATTTGTAGTATTTAATATTACAAAAAAATAATTGTCTAACCTGAAGAAAGTACACTAGATGCTGACTGACATTGAAGTATAGAATTGGCATCTGCATGAGCTTGATGGCCATAATGATTCATGTCAAATAGTTGAACACTTTGAATGTTATGTGACAGTGGTTCAGTTCTTAGAGTTGACATAGAATAAGTTGGGCAACTGTTAACAGAAGATGGGATTGAAGGGTGTTCAAACATCAAACTATTTGGTTCATAGATTTGATTATCAGAACCACCAGAACATTGACGTGATAACTGAGATTGATTTTCATTATGTTCTAAGATACTTTGAATTCGAAAGAGCTCATTCATTTGCACATCATGAGAGCTATGATGCAATTGTCCAGAAAAACAACTTGTTGATGCAGCTGTAAAACAAGCAGTATTTGAGTTGGGAGTACCAATTCCTTTTTGATGTTGCAAAGTTGAGGGAATCCCTTTTTGTTGGGTAACATTTTTTGAATATGGATTATCTTCCATTGCATTGGTCTCTGTGTTCTATAGAAAAAAAATTCAAAAATTTTACATTGAAACCTAAAATCATTGAATTAAAATACCATATTTTCATGTTTAAACAATTGTATTTGCAGATATTTATTTATTAAAGTATTTTCTTAACACTTGAATAGACAATTAAAAAAAAAAACATCATATACACCTGAAGACAGCTTTTCTCTTCATTTTGACAAACATCTAAATAATATAATTTATTCTTAGTATTTTCTTTCTTTTTGCCTCACACAAATATATAGTAAACTCCCTAATCATCTTAGCTTACTTTCAAGATAATTAAGCTAGAGTTTTTAAAGAATACTAAACACATCCAGATAAACTCAAATAGGGACTTTTTTCCTAAAAGTTTTTAATTTGAGAAAATAACAACACTTAAAAGTAAACAGAGTCTATAAACCAAAGATTATTTAATGAAAACCACGCAGAACTATGAGGATCATCATCGTGCAATCGAAACTAACCTAGGTGGAATAGCACGTGCCATGATAATTAGATTTTCGCGCTTCGCGAAGACGGTCACGATCACGCTCATTAGCGGCTTTCTTATTAAAGTTTTGACAAATTTTAAAGTTCTATTAAATAATGTAATTTGTTTGCAATATATCCCTATATACTTTCATACTCTCGTTTCCTTATTTAAAACATCGTACTTATAAGTAATTCACATGAAATTTGCAAAACCAAATAATTATTTTTCAAAATAGTAGCGTATTAAAGTCCCGAATTGTTTGCCTCTTTGATCCCGACAAGAATATAGAAATCTCATTCAAACCTGAATCCTTTTTTTCCATTGCCCACAGTCTTTAACTCAAACGACAGCGGTAACACATACTTTAAAACCGCTGATCTGTATAATAATTAAATATAATTCAGGGGTTAATTATTAAGTTTAATTTAGTTGTAATATAAATTACTTTTTTTATTTTATTTTAAATAAATAAAACAACTCAAAAAAATTTATTTTAATTTTTTTTTTATAGTTTTTTTTTTAATAATTAAAATAAATAAATTGATTATATTTAAATTTAAAGATTTGTTGTCCCCTAAATATTAATTTTGAGTTAAATTGTTTTGCGGACTTCCTTTATTTTAATGAAGGAATTCGAAACAAAACAATTCACGAAAATATGATAAAAACAAAAGTCGTTTCTACGTTCTCGTTTTAAATAGATTGGGAGCAGATGTTTTTAATTAAGTATTCACCAACATATTTAAAACAAAAGTTCATGAATTCTTTGAGGAACTCACTTAGTTAGCATAGAAGTTTTTTTAAAATTCTAAAAGTACAATCCAATCTAACAATCTATTACAATCCAACAAATTCAATCATTTTTGTCTATTGGTAACATAATTTTTCAAATACGAAATTTATCAATTTTACAAAATACATTTTTTTGAATTAATAAAAATGTTTTACCATTTTTATAACAATGGTTTCATAAAATTCACATATTAATGTGAAGTTATAAAACCAATTATTTTTTTATTTGCAAAGTTTCTTTACCATAAGACCAATAAGGTCTTTTATTTAAAAAAAAGAAAAACTTTTTTTTTGTTTGTTAAAAAATAGTTAGCTGTCTGTAAAGAGATCATACTTTCTTCATTTTATTTAATTTTGCTGGTAAAATGTATGTTTTTAAATATATACCATACGAAAATGCAAATATGTAGTACTAACATGATAGTGTAGTTATCATATATTAGTCGTCCATTATCTTGAAAACAATAGTTCATTTGATTTTAGGAAACTTAATTGTCTTCTCAACCATATTTTAACCACAAAAAATTTGAGTTTTGAAGAACATTGTACAGAACAAGTTTTTTTGGGAAGACTGTCAATGTTTTTGTTCATGTTATAAAATCATCATTAAAACTAGTTGGTAAATAAAATTAGGTCGTTGCCTCTTTTCCACATTTTATAAAGAATTTTTTTAACTTGATGTAAGTATAAAGTGAAGATTTAGTATTGAAAACTCTTGCTTTTTACCAATAGATATTTATTCACACACCATCAATGGTATTTATATACTTTTTGATTATTGAAATCACAGTTGTAGAAATTATTACACATGGCCTTTTTTATTTTTTTAAGGTAATTTTTTTTAATACTTAAATTACTTTCAATATGTATAGTTGAAATGAGGGTTTTGTAAATTTTGAAAAGAAAAAATTTAGAGATGTGCATTAATCCAACTCCAGAATTTGAATTGGTATTAGTTATTGAAAAAGTAAACACTTTTTCAAAACCAATTCAAATTCTAGAGTTGGACCAGTGCACAATCTCTAAACTTTTTTTCCTTTACATCTGATTGGGAGTTTAGAAAGTTTCTAAATTTACGTGCTTCTAAAAAAACTTCTAAAGTTACATGCACTAACAAAAATACTGCACTGATATTTTTATTTAGACTTTTTAATCTGTAAGTGAATGGATATTGAACTGTGACAGACCTTAAAAACTATTATTTTTTAAAAGTGTTTTAAGTTTAATGTTATTGTGTTTCAAAAGATGTTCTAAATCAATAGTATTTGAAATGACAATATATAGCATTAATGTTTTACTATTCTTGCCAATCAAGAACATTCTAAATGCAGAAAAATAGATTTGCCAAAAACTATTTAATATTTGGCGAACGTGATAATTAATATATTCATTTTGACTTTAGATAATCCTTTATACAAGGCTTGATTTTTTTGTTGTTGCTAAATCTTATAATGAATCATATTCAGCATGATTTGCAGGGTAGTTTAATGACAAAGTCTTAATTTTATAGTAGAGCAGTTAATTTTTTTTTTAATTTTATATATATGATTGAAGAGTTTTAGGAATAGTTAATCCAAAGTAAATAGTTGTAATACATTGCTTGTAATAGTATATATAAATGAATATATGACAAATATTTAAATAAAAAGTATTGAACTAAACTAAAATATTTAACTTTTATATTTAAATAACAATTAACAAACTCTAAAATATTTATACATATTTAAATAACAATGTAATTGACTGAATAAAATAACCAACAAACTTTTGGTCGACTTGTAGATGGAATGGACTCAACAATACTTTTGTAATCTGGTTTGATTTTTTTAAACAGGTGAAGCATATTTGAAAAGAAAATATGCTTCATAAAATATGTAGCATTTAGATTAAACTTTAATTGAATAGTGCTTGATTCTGAAAATGAAAACGTTTTCAGAATCAAACACTGTTTAAAGTCCTGAAAAAGTTTTATTATAAAACTTTTTCAGGATTACTATTTCATTACGTTTACTAGTATTTAGTATAACATGTAAGATGTTTTAAGATTTACTATGTAAGATGCACATGTAAGATATTTTAAAATTTATTATGTAAGATGCACATGTAAGATACTTTAAATTTTATTATGTAAGATGCACATGTAAGATACTTTAAAATTTATTATGTAAGATGCACATGTAAGATGTTTTAAAATTTATTATGTAAGATACACATGTAAGATGTTTTAAAATTTATTAAGTAAGATGCACATGTAAGATGTTTTAAATCATAAAATTCTGAATGAAAGAAGTTACATTATAAGAACTTGAATTTAATCTTGCAGATTGTATATGTAGTGCTCATTTTTTAGTATTGTATATATTTTTTATATTTTCTGGTTCTCTTTATTATTGCGTGCTTAACATGTGCTTCTAAGTAATAGTGTCCTGTTTCCATATACTTGATGTCAACTATTTGTGAGTTATTTATTTTGTTTACAGCATATGGCATAGTTGCACAAGCGTTTTTGTTGCAATTTTATTCTCCTTATTTATTAGAAAAGAAAAAAATATGTTTTACAAGTGTCAGTAATTCAAAAAGATACTTTAATAAACAAGTGCAAATCCTACCTTTTCCTCTTACATATATCTACTACACAACAGTGACCACTTTTACTAAGTGCATAAAAAATGGTCAAACTTTTAGTTTACTTTTATGCCAGTTGGCTGTCTCCTAAAAAAGGGACACCTATAGCTTATTCGTCAAACGTTATGGCTCTAAATAAGTGGCTATGATCTAAAGTTGCTTTTTTTATATAAATTTTTTAAACCTTTTAGAACGTTACAAAACCTGTTTCTCTTTATTTTTGAATACGACCAAATATAAGAGATTAAGATATAAAAAATAAAGGCTTGATAAAAGCCAAAACAGATTTAATTCCATAATTACTATTTTTATCTTTACCTGCATTTTTTTTCCAACTATCAAAAAACATACTCTTAGGTGCTTAATACGAGGTGGAGTGGTAATAAAAGGGTGTGTATGAATTTTTGTGGAAATCTTATAAACAGGTGGTTGGGAGTTTTTATTTTTATAAGAGAATTAACATTTTCTAATTTTTATGACCGGTTCACACAAAAAGTTTTTATTTACAATTTCTTTGTTCATGACATAATATGCTCGGGGTGGGTAGGAAAATTTTTTGAAAATCAACAAACATCGCTTTACGTGTATCAGGCATCCTTGTAACCTAGCTTACTTATATAAGACTATTTACTTAAATATAAATATTACGCTATATACTTAAATATAACGCCAGAGTTGAACAAATATAACGCTCATAAGACGTTAAATTGGCGTTATATTACAGTTATATTCGTGTAATCTTACTGCAATATTTAGCGTTATTTTGGCATCATTTTCCAGCATTATTTGCTTAACTCTGGCGTTATATTACCGTTATATTAGGAAAACAAACTAATGGTTTATAAGTTATATTTTGGCATTATATTTATTTTAATAATCCTATACTTACAAATATAATATTTATAAGACAATAAAGAATGTTTTAAGATAATAAACTCTATACAAATTGATTAAATTTAATATGTATCGGAGCCGACGACACCGGGAGGCAAAGGGGCTCCTCTTTTTTTGTAAAGGACCTAGAAACTGACGGTTTTGCCCCTCCACTTTGAAACCCGTGTCGTCGACCATGTGTATAGTTAAATCATGTATAGTTTGACCTTTAATAGCCATGTAATAAAATAATTACAACTAACTGCAATATTTACAAATCTAAACTTTACTTAAGGTTAATCAATAGTGTTACCCGATATGTTAATCCAAAAAAATAAGTTGCTAAAAGTAAAGTTGTTTTAACCAAAAGTGTTGAGCTTTGCTCATAGCTGGCTACAGAAAATAAATTACATTTACGTCAAGTATGTTGTTTTCTGAAAAGTTTTTATAAAATCGGATTTTTTAAGTATCTCTATTATAATATATACTTATAAAAAGCCTTTGTAATGCAATTTAATTTTTATGTCAAAGTACTTAGCCGGTTTGAATTTCATGTTGTTGTTGCCAGTTACATTTCTGTCTCTAAAGATGACACAAAATAGACATAAAGTATGCTATGCCAAAAGTTAACATCTAGCAAACATTTGTAGCATGAATGGCATGCTACAATTATTTTGAAATTACATTATAAATTTACTATGGGTACTAGACGTTGATAATACTAAAAAAATAAAATATGATACCTTCAAACTTTATGTAATTTAACTTCATTTTGAAAATATATAAAATACAACATTTTTAATGGTACCAGATGCAGTCGCGCAACTAAAGTATACTAAATAAAATGAGTAAAAATATATAATCTTAAAAATATATAATACTATACATTTATTATTACATTATAGTCAAAATTTAATACAAACAAGTATTTCAAATTAAAAAAAAATTTAAAATCAAG